TGCGGGCCCAGCAGCTGCCTCCTGACACCCCAAAACAGCCTCGCCTGCTCCTCCCCACTGCTGGGCTCCCCACCTGGGGGGTACTCCCCCGACCCCTGCAATGCCACCCAGGGAGAGCCCCTCAGCAACTGTGGGCCAGGTGCCTTTATTGGCCCAATTTCACTCCCCCACGGCCATTTCACACAGCGAAACTGAGGCTCAGGGTGACTGGCTGCCTGTCCTTGGTCAGACACGGGCTGGGAGTCCGGGCTGTCACCTGCCCCTCCTGGCCCCTCACCTTGTAGCCCTCCCCTCTACGAGTTGCTGAAGGGACCCTGCTCGGTAGTAAAAGGAGCCTGGGACACAGGCCGAGTCCTGCCAGCTGTGTGGCTGTCACCTTGCTGCCCGCAGGGGAGGCCAGGTCTGGGTTGGCTGAGGAGAACAGCAGGAAGCCACCACCAGGCCTTGCAGCCACAACCCCCAGAGGACCCCACCCCCCCACTTCCTGCCAAATAAGAGGTCTGCCCCCTGGGCCCCACTGCCAGCTGCCACCCGCAGGGACCCCCAGGTGGGATGGAGAGTCTGGGACTGGAGCCCAGAGCTGGGGAGGAGATAGAGCGGAGGCAGGGGGGTCCTGGGGAAGGGGGTCCTGACTCAGTTCCTTCCTTCCTGAGGCCACTGCCCTCCAGGCAACAGGGGCTGCCCAGGTGGAGCCTCGCTTTTCTGGGTCAGCAGAGAGACGCTGCAATGCAGGGCAAGGTTTCTAGGGCTGGGGACTGGGTGCCAGGAGGCTCTGAGCCCGGCACGGGCAGCCTTGCCAGGCTCCAGACAGCCCTGGACTCCTGTGGGCCCCACTCCACTCAGCAACTCCCATGGCCCCGGCTTGTTCTCAGAGGGGTCCCCTGGAGCCCCCCCGCCGGGTGACACCTGGGCTGGGCAGAGGGACAGCTCGGAGAGGCCCCCCGCCATATGGCGCGTCCCTCCACCGCCTGCAGCCACCGCCAACTCCCCCTCACCATAACCTTCCCGCATTTGCTAATGTTTTGTGACATAAAGCCCCGAGATTAATTTTTTGCCTCTGTCTTAATTGAAGGAACCATTTAGTACAGATTTAACTATTATTACCAAATCATCAGGATTGATGCAGTGCGAGTGGGCGCTCGCCAATCGTGTTTAGAGGAGCTCAGAGGATTTATGCAAATGGGCCTGCCGGGAGAGGCAATTTGTAGCGGAGAAGGACAATTATACCAGGCCCGAGAGTGCGCCAACGACCGTGCCGGGCGAGTAATGGGTAATAACATCTCGCAGCAGCCGTGAGCAGCGCCGCAGCATGACCAACAGCTTATACGGTGCAGATAGAGGCTTTCATGCCATGCCACCTCACCGAGCGGGTGGGGGCGCCTCACAGGGCTGGGGGCACAGGCGAGCCAAGCTGTGTAGCAGGGCTCTGGGGCCGTGGCTTCCCAGGGACCCGAGTCCAAGGTGACGCCCAGGACGGACAGTCAGCCAAGGGGAGGGGGAGGCCTGCACTTGATGGTGCCCCCCCAGCAGGCTCTGTCCTGCTGGGCACTCGAGGTAGCCCAGTCCTGGGGGGACTACGGGACCTCAGGAGAGGGGTAGGACGGCACAGCAGGCCTGGGGAGCTGGGGAGGAGCCCCAGACTCTGCCGCCCAGGTCTCGGGGCACCTGGCCAGCCTCGGCCCCCCATGTGCTCCTGTGCCCAGTGGCGCCCCAGGGTGCTCCTTGAATCTAGGACTTACTTTTTTCTTGCCATTGCCCCTGGCCAGCTGGCCCCCTACGTGACCCTGCATCCAGCTGCGCCCCGGGGTGCCCCTTGGATCTAGGACTCACCTGACTTTCTTGCCGTCACTCCTGGCCAGCTGGCCCCCAGGGCGCAGGGTGGGCAGAGAGCTGGAGTGCTTCCGCTTCCGGGGCCGGCCGGGCCCTCTCCGAGCGGGGCTCCGCGAGCTGTCATCTCTCCTGGGGGCCACGGGAGAGGCAGTCAGAGCTATGCCTACACTGGCTCCTGCAGAGGGCCCTGCCACGGGGGGATGAGGCAGGCTCCCCGGACTTGGCCTAGAGCGCCCTGGCCCAGCCCCCACAGCTCACCTGATGGGTCTCCACCTCTCCAACCATCCTGTATGCTCTCATCCCCACTGTAGCTGCAGGGGTCCCTCTGCCCCCTCATGAGCCCTAGCACCCACCCTGTCCTCCCACCACCCCTCTCTGACCCCCAACCCTGTCCTGTCCTCCCAGCACTCCTCTGACCCCCAACCCTCTCATGGCCTCCCAGTACCCCCTCTGACCCCTGATCCCGTCCTGGCCTCCCAGTACCCCCTCTGACCCCCGATCCCGTCCTGGCCTTCCAGCGCCCCCTCTCAGCCAGCGCCGCCGGGGTCACCAGTCTCCGCTGCGAGATCTCTGTGCCATGACCATCCTCCCTTCTCCCCACTTGCTTCCTCAGCTGGCCCCATGTTTCAGCCTCAGGCCCGTAAGTGCTACTAACCCATTGCCCCGGGAGACTTCCCAGCCCCAGCTCCCTGGCTGCCCCCTCACACCTGGGTGGCTCCCGGCCCTGAGGCTGCAGGCATGGCCTGCGTCTGCTCCCACCACAGCTGACCTAGGGCCTGTGGAGTGCCAGGATGAGCCCTCCCTGGTGCCCTGCCCTGTGTACGGCAGCCTCCCCCGCCCCCCGCGCATACTCATGGTCGTGTCTGCGCTGCAGCCGTGCCAGCTCCCGCTGCTTCTCCTTGTAGCGCCGCTGCAGCTCAGCCAGCCGCACACGCATCTCCACCTCCTGTGTGTCCAGCCGCTCGATGGCCGCCTTGAGTGGGCACACCTGGTGGGTGGGACACACGGGGCCCGTGAGCAGAGCCGGGCCCCAGGGGCCAGGGGCAGGTGGGTGGCCATGTGGGGAGCTCCAGGCCCCCCCCACAAAGGGCTCAGCCCTCTTTCCCTCATACAGCAGAATGTCTGGTGCTCAGGGCCCTCCACTCACGGGCTTGGCTTTGGGGGTCCAGGTGTCCTTGCGCTGTAGGATCTGCATGCGGGGGGTGAGCACTGGTCGGCCACAGGGGTCGGCAGCAGGGGCCGGGGCCATGGGGGCAGGGCTCTCCAGGCCCGCAGCCTCTACCAGGGACCAGGCTGTGGCCAGCGTGGCCAGGTGCTGCAAATTGAAGGCCAGCACATCCTCCTCCTCCTCTGTGGGGGGAGAAGGGGTCAGTGTGTGCTTGTGTGTGTGAGAGCATGTGTGTGTGCAGGCATGTGTGCGTGTGAGCACGTGTGTGAGCATGTGTACGAGTGTGAGTGTGTATGTGCACAGGTATGTGTGCATGCATGTGTGTGTACACGTGTGTGCACGTTGTAGATGGCTTGTGGGGGCGTGCGCATGCACAGGGCCCCCCTGGGCCTGGCTCCTCACTGAGCCCCACACTCGAGGCCAGGAGCCTCAGGCCACCCCAAATAGGACAGGCTCTTGACAGCAACCTCAGTCCCGGCACCACCCCAGACCCCAGAGGCTGCTGAGCTCTACGAGATGTGAGGACCAGAACCACGGCCAGGTACTGGAGCTGGCACCCAGCACCTGCCTCGGCTCCAGGTGGGAGAGACCCCCTGTGGGTACTGCTGCGGCTGGGATGGCACAGCCCTCAGGCAGGTTCCTCCCCGCTGTGCAGAACAAGATGCACAAACCGTCTAAGACAAAGCAAGTGAGTGTTCCCACCTCTCCCAGGAACTGCCCATGGGTCTGACCTAGAGCAGCAGCCGTTAGACACTCAGGCTCCTTACGCTCGGGCCCTGGAGACTCTGGTCTTGGAGACTCAAGGCCGTGCTCTGGGCAACCGAGCCAAGGCCTGTGAGAGGCCCTCAGGACAGTCACAAGTTGATGTTCCAGACCAAGGACACTGAGACCTCAGAGCCATGTTCGAAGTCACAGAGGCAGGTGCCCATGTGTGACTGAGCTGCCTTAAACACAGGAGTTCCCAGGGTCTGACCACCAGCAGCTAAGAGCTGTCCATTCATCTGTCCATCCACCCATCCATCCATCCATCCATCCATCCGTTCATCTGTCCATCCATCCGTCTGTTCATCTATACATCCACCCATCCATCCCCCCCTTCACTGAGGCTCCCCCATCCCCCCAGAGGCCTGGGAAGCTGCCCTTTCCCCACTCCCTGCACCCACTCGAGGTCCCAGAGGGCAGTGATGGTCCTCTCCTAAGGCATACCCAGGCAGAGAACATCCCAGCATTTTCTGGCCCTGGGGTGGGGAGGAGAGGGCGTGGTCTGACAAGCAGGCTGACGACAGGTAAGGAAGGAGGCAAGGAGAGGGGGTCAGAGTCCTGGGTCTTGGATCTCTCTCAGGGCTCATCTTTAGGGTCTCAGAAGGTGGCAGAGATGAGGACGAGGGTGGGGGCGGACAGCTACCCTCACAGTGATTGGCAGGAACGGTGCAAACCCAGGGTAGCAGCATCGGGTATCACAGCCCTGCGGGGTGAGGAGGGAGGAATGGCAGCAGAGGTGGCAGACTGGTTACATGTAGGTGGGGCTGCCCCATAAGCAGATCTATGAAGGGTAATGAGGCCAGGTTTCTCACCGTTGGGAAGGAAGT